CTTTGTTATTGTTTTTAATTGTCAGATTGTTCTTTAAACTGGTTTGTAAAAAAGGAAATTGTTTATAAAACAGTAAAGAATGAATTCTTGACACTTATGAAAGAGTGCCGTTTCAAAGACTGCCTCGTTCTATCTCAAGCATCAACTTCCATCTGCGCCTTTGAGAGAGAGGAAAACCGTCAGATCGTCTCACAGATTTTGTTAGAGTTATTGTATTCATCAGTTTATGAAAAATGCTCTTTTTCTGTAACTTCTCTCCGATTTCTCCGTACGACTTTAAAACTGCTGCTATTTCCATATCTCATTCTGCATGGTTTGGGTTGAAGATCGTAATTTTCCTGAGCACAGTGAAGGTTTTTGGCTTAAGTTGTTATGTCCGAGGAGTCTCTTATAGCTCTTTGAGTGTCTGCGTTTCTCTGAGGTTTGATATAGCTTTGTTATTTTCTCCGCTGCACTGCGTACATCTTACCTCCTGCATTGTTTTGTGCAGAGCCGTTTTCTGAAGCATTTTTTATAGAATTCTCATAACGACTTCTCTGTTCGTTTAAGTCGCGTGTTTAGTGCCAGCATCATTACGGTGGTCTTCACCACAAAAGATGCATGAACTTTTCTTTTCAAACCGAATACAGTAGGCTATTTAGTGACGGAGTGATAAAGTAAGGCTTCTCTTTACCGGCTCAGCTGCAATCGTCGCTAACAAATAGCGTTAGTTGATGTGTACGCTTAGACTTAGAACTGGTAGGTATTTGGTACGAAGTGGAGCGCTTTACTTGCTAGTTGAACCTTAACTTTAAATCTTTATCGTTAAAAACGGTTCTCGAACAACAAGATTACAGCAACGAGATTTAAATACAAAAATAATTAAGAAACATACAGACCATTGTAAGTGAGAAAATTACAATTTATTAAAAATGGACACTGAATTGATATAAGTGGTTGAACGAAAAATAGAAATAATTGGAGGAAGCTAAGCCTGTGTTTAAGCCAAAATTTATTAACAATAAGCTAGGCGTTTAGCGTCATCACTGTTCAGCTTGTACGAAACCGTCCCTTTATAGTGCACGTGTGTAGCTCCATGCCTCCCTTA